GGCATTGGTGCTGCACGCCTTTAATCCCAGCACTCAGGAGGCAGAGGTAGGTGGATCTCTGTTAGTTCGAGGCCAGCCTGGTCTCGAACAGGATAGGCTCCAAAGCTACACAGAGAAACCCTGTCTCAGGGGGGAAAAAAAAAGTTTTTTACATGACTTACAAAACCTACTGAAATTGTTCAGCAATGTGCAGGCATCCTACCAAAAGCACATTAAGATGGGCTAAAACAGATCTTAGAAAACATCTTTTTATGCCACATTTCTGAGCAGTCTTCTGGAACAAGTATGGCAGTTATTAAATCATTGCCTCTCAGCTGCAAACTCCAATACTATCTCACTATATTCTGCTTTGCCAAACTGGAGCTAGGATTCTCTGCAAACCACACTTCTACTTTGCCAGCTGGCTTTTTAAAAGTTCTAACCAAGAAAAATAGCCAAAACAACAGACTGCAAGGCTAGAAAAGGAAGAAGCAAACTGTACCTCTCATTTATTCTTTGAGATTCAAGAAACATTCTCAGAGCTGGATTGGCACACCCTTTAATCCCAGTGCTTAAGGGGGCAGAGGCAGGCGGATCTTCTGTGACCAGCCTGATCTATCTAACATCCCTATCAGCCAGGGCTACATAATTACACTCTGTCGAAATAGATTTTAAAACAAACAAACAAACAAACAAAGCAGGCAGTCAGGCAGGCATGCACACACTCCCACAGCACCAAGTAAATCCAGTTCTCAGTGTTTCTAACACTTGAGATTTAGCGTTGTCACACCCAACTCAGAAACACCAGCATCTTCCTCAGAAGTTTAGGTCTCAGTCTCATAGACTTTTGAAAGCTAAGAGACCAGAAGCAATCATGGAACTTCTCTCCTGCACTCCCATTTCAAAGGCTCATCTTCTGTTACTGAATGTTTCTCTGGCCTCTGAGTCCTATGAGTAGCTGGTGTCTTCTTATGTCTCTCTTCACAATACCTTAGAGTTTTACTTTTATCATTCTGTTGCCTACCTAGTTAACAACTTTATATCTAGTTAGATTGTTTCTACTAAGATATCTTCTGTCCAAATATCTAGTATGGGCCTCCCAAATAAAACCATGTGTAATAAAACAATCTCAATATGCAGAATAGGATATCGCCATCATAATTTTTTGCCTGTTTTTTTTTTTTTTTTTTTGAGACAGAGTCTCATGTACTCCAGACTGACCTGGAACTTACTATGTAACACAATAACCTTGAACTCCTGATCCTCTTGCTTCCACCTCAAATGTTGGGATTACAAGCATATAACGCCACAGGAGGCCTTGTAATTAGTACCAGGAATAGTGACAGATGCCTGTAATTCCAACAACTGGGAGACTGAGCAGGAAGATCATGATTTTGAGTCCAGCTTAAGCTACATATTGAACCTTGTCTCATATAATTTTGCATACATTATCAAGTAAAGAGCAGTGTTGGTAAGAACCACCTAGTTAAATCAAATACATTTAGCTATCACAAACAGTACTTCAGAGAAAATTGAGTTTTTCCTGAATTCACACATAATTATGTATTGAGAAAATAAGGTGTATGAAGACATTAAAGCTCTCTAAATTTGCTGTTACTTTTTAAAATCATAAAAATACAGCAACTATAATTTAAAAACCAATCCTAATGCATTCTAAACAAGGATCCAACATCACCTGCAAAATATAATCTAATTTACTTACTGTAAATATTTAAGGAAGCTGGGTGCACTTTTAGTCCATTTACCTTATTTTCTCCCACCAAAACACAAGTTTTATTTTGGAGACAGGGTCTTCCCATACATCCCATTTTGGCCTTGAACTCAAAACCTTCCAGCTTCTGCCAAAAATCCTGGCTCATCCAAAGACTTTATTAAAAGTTCACACATTCTTTCATTCTACTCCCTGACTTAACTTACACACACATTGTCAATTTTCACTCATAACTGCAATTACAAACCTCCACCAGCCATATATATGGCTCTAATCCACCAGCTCACGTATTTCCTAACTTTAGGTTAGCCACTTTTTAGACATATAGCATACAAGCACACGATGATCCAGGTGATACATATAAAGGGGTTAAGGAAAACAAGCAGCATCTCTATGGATCCAATCTACTCCAAGAACTCCAGGGCTCTTATTTGGGAGGTGACGGTCAATCTTGACTGTCAACTTAGAATCACTGTGGAAACAAGCCTCTACCCACTTAGGGGATTTTCTAGATTAGGTTGAGGTAGGAAGGCACACCTAAGTGTAGGAGGCACCATTTTATGGGCTGGAGTCCTGGACTAAATAAAAAGGAGAAAGGGAGCAACAGCTTTCCTCACTCTCTGCTAACTGGCTGCAGATTCAATGTGATCAGCTGCCTAACCTTCTATGAGTCAAAACACACTCATCCTTCTTTAGGGTTTTTTTGTCTTGTTTTGTTTCTCTCACTCTTTCTTTTTTTGGTCAGATACTTTGTCACAACAGCAAGACAAGTATTTCTGGTTTGGGGAAGGGCAGGGAAAGATGTTTTAAGTAATCAAGTTTTTAACATCCTCCTGGGAAGGGGAGGATATATCTTATATACATAAGATTTCCTTTCTTATCTGAAAACAGCTTCCACTTACAAAAACCAGTGACAGACAACAGTCCTCTCCACACACATTATCTCTGAGAATGGGAATCTGTTTTTAAGAAGAGCCATCCAGAACATTACAGAAATTATTTACTGTGACTCTGATGCTACTGGGCTTCAACGTGTGAGCTACTGGGCTTCAACGTGTGAGCTGATGGATTTATAACTGTATTTAAGATTCAGACTCTAGAATATTAAACACAAGAATTACAGCACACTGTGGGCAAATTAAAGATTCATTTCAGTTCTGTAACCTTACCAAACAAAATTTAGGCAAGTATGCAACTTAACCGAATGTTATATAAGGCCTTAATAAATACTACTACATAAATACTCAAAACAACTTTAAATACCAGTCAATAGCTTTTATACATGATTGTTCCAGCATACCACATTACAAATTATTTTTAATGAAATCTAGTTGTGGAAGAGCAAAGTCTACAAACAGATTGATATAACCATTCCCAAAGTTTTAAATACTTTTTAAAAAATTACTCCCTAGCACTCGGGAGGCAGAGGCAGGCAGATCTCTGTGAGTTCGAGACCAGCCTGGTCTACAAGAGCTAGTTCCAGGACAGCCTCCAAAGCAGAGAAACCCTGTCTCGAAAAAGACTCCTCCCTTCACATGAAAATAAATCACCACGAAGACAAATTACTTCTAGAGCAGTTGCCAGACTTGTTTTTTTTTCAAAAATATTTCTAGAACAATATAGGTATGCCTTGCCTTCAAAGGGAGGATAAACACTCAAGCTAAGTAGGTGAAAAATGTGTTCTCGTGGTAAGAAAAGCCATAATGGCATGGAAGTTTTCCAGAGCATAGCAAGGAGCTTTGCTCTGATGAATTCTAGTACTGAAAATCCAAAAAGGCAAACTCACTATTCATTTTCCTCTTGTGTCATTCAAATCAGAATCTTTCTCAAACCTATGTACTTACTCCTTAACTTCACATTCGTGACTCTAGCAATGTGTTCTCTATCTCTTCTTGCCCTCTAATCTTTTACTCTGTTCCAGTTAATACTAGCCAGCATAATGTTCCTCAAACATAGAACAGCCTCCTACTGTGGTAATTTCTAGATTCCTTCTACTTAGAACACTCATTCTCTGCATACCAAATATGTACCTGGCTCTTTCCATCACTTCTAGCTCTTCACTCAAATGTCTCCTTTTCAGTGAAGCTTTCCCTGGGTTATATTAACCAGGTTCAAAATAACACCTACCCCTCAAGTTCCTAGTCTCTTGCACTTCCTCCTCAGAAAACTCTCAATATCTAACAAATAGTTACACTTATTTTGCTTAAGAAGCAAAACAACAGATATGTGTGTATGTGTGTATGTATGTGTGTAAGTGCTTAACAGTAAAGATGCTTTATTGTACTTCACTGAGGAAATTAAGAGTGATGCTATTCTATTGTCACAGAATGTTAGGATAATGGTAGCAGTGTATCAGGTGAATAAGGGATACTGACTGTAGCAACCCATAGCTCATATTCTAAGTTTCAATTTGAAAGCTTTCAATTAAAGTTGGGTTTAGATTACCCCACCACCACCCCCCCGGCAGTTTTCTGAGACAGGGTCTTTCTATGAAGTAGCACTCACTGCTGTCCTGGGACTCCATCTGTTGACCACCATACTGGCCTCAAACTGAGAGATCCACTTGCCTCTGCTTTCCCGAGTGCTGGGTTTAAAGGCTAAGCCACCACACCCAGCAAGGTTACTTTTCAAATCTGCTCTTGGACCAAAAACAATCCCTCAGAAGTCACTAACTGAACAGAACATAGGAACCTGGGAAAGCTTCATATTTACCTGCTCTACCCACTGGATCTAACAGGAGTTTGGGTTCAAAGAATTTGGTAACTTAAAAAATCTGAAATCACTAGCTTATATAAAACAACTTAACTCCTACTTTTTAATTTCATTTGTTTAGTTTAATGTAGAAGAGTGCTTTCACCTCTCTTCAGAAACAAGTTAAAATCAGTAATTTAGTCTTTCTTAGTAATCTGCTACAAAGCAACAAAAATATATTTTTTAATTAAAGCAAGTAGAAAGCAGATTAAATTTTTAAGAAACAACAACAAAAGTGTAGTTATGGTGTTTCATGTTCAAGATTATCCCTGGAGATTAACAGATCTAAATCCCGTTTCCTCAAAAATCTCTATAAGCATAAATACGCCCCACTCCAAACCACACTACTTCACAAACACCAATATTTTTTCTACAGCAAAGGTGATTTATTATGCTTCATTGGAGAAATGAAGAGTAATGCTATTCTATAACAAAACTGTACTCAGCCTTACCTTGAACTTCACTGCAATAAGACATGACCAACATAACTTCAAATTTTAGATGTTCCAATAAAGAAAAAAGAAAACAGAATACTTACCTTAATGAAGTTACAGATGGACAAGCTTGTCCATACAAACCCATCTGGCCACAAAGAGAATCTAAAAGTAAAACAGAACATTATTAGATGCTTCAAAGTAAATTAAACTATAACCCAACTACAATTCTAATTAAAAACACTGAACAAAAATCAAATGCTAAAAGAATCACCAGTAATAAAACATGTATGAATGAAAAGTATTACTGATGGTATCAATGACACACATATCAAAAAACTTAAGAGACCTCCTAATATTCAGCATAGAGTGTGTCCAAAGCATTCAGTAGAATCCTAAACATTCCAGCAATGTTCCTGAAAGCTACCATTAGCACTGAACATGCCAGTATCTATGAGCCAGAGGTAGGCAGAATACTAAATTCAGCCTTTCTCTTTCTTAGACATTCTGACAAACTCACAACTTGGATTTCTAAGACCTCTCAAAGTAAAAGCAGCAAAACATAAGTTTTATCCCAGAGAAATCTAGTAAACTGCTTTTTAATCCTTGGCACTAAACGAAGACAAAGGAATGGGGCTAGTACAGCAGTGCAGTGACATCTCCCTTGGCACACAAGCAAGCTCAGAACTACAATTTTGCTTAACGTGCCTGTAAGATATTGGAGAAACTCACCTTTGATTTAGGTCTGAAAAAAAAAATCCTCCAAGCAGGGGTTCAAAATAATGAATGTGAATAAATGAATGTACAATCAAAACACAAAGATCAGAATCAGGCTACCCACAGCAAGACAGACCAGAAATAATAGCACATCAGACCACAGAGCTCAGGTACAAGGTTACCTTTCTCTGTTGTTTATTTCACATGTAGTTTACCTGCACGGCATTTTAAATGCCAACATGCAGATCAAACCCATCTGCCTCCATTAGGGTACCCTCAGATCTCCAACCATGTACAAAACACTGCCTCCTGAAAATCCTAAAGTTACCATTCCTAAAAGTGACTCCATCATCTTGATAAAAACAGCAGTCTAAACTCTTTGTTAGAGCCAACACTTCTAACTCTTGGTTTCTATGAAGTACACCGTCTCTAAACACTCCTGGCCTCAGTCTACTCCTCTCCAAAGAGGTTAATTTTGTAGGTGGGCAGAACTTAATAAGAGATGTGAGCATCTAGGACTTGGTCTCTTCCCTCTTCATCTGGGCCTGTGGGGCAGTAATCCAGGTGCATTTGCTCTGCTAACCCAAACATCACCCACAGTAGTCTGTCCATAGATAGGTGGCAATGAAGAACTGTGGAGTTAGCCAATATCATTTTGACTCTTTAACTCTTTGGCAACCATATTCTCCTCTATCACTGTATTTTTTAAAAAGGCAAAGGAGACTGAAAATAAAAGTTCAGTGGCAGCCGGTCAGTGGTGGCGCACGCCTTTAGTCCCAGCATTCGGGAGGCAGAGGCAGGCGGATCTCTGTGAGTTCAAGACCAGCCTGGTCTACAAGAACTAGTTCCAGGACGGCCTCCAAAGCTACAGGGAAACCCTGTCTCCAAAAAAAAAAGCTCAGTGGCAGACTGCTTACCTAGCATGCACAAGGCCCTAAATTCAATCCCTAGAAAGACACACACCCCTCTATCAAAGTTCAAAGTTACCACAGACTCGATAATTCTATTTATAGACATATGGATCTCCAAGGCTATGTAATCCTATAAAAATTTGTGATTAAACATTCCATAGCATTTGGCTATTCATAATTAAAGAATAAATGTCCATCAGCTGATGAGTAGAAAAACAAAATGGGCATGTCAATTTATCAATGACAACATAGGTAATTATTCTACCATAAAAGAAAGGAATGACATCTTTTATGTATTACAATATAGATGAGCTTTTGAAAGCTTGTGCTAAGTGAAAACTCATTCACAAAGGGCCACTCAATATATGATTTTATTTACACAAACAGTCCAGAATAGCCAAACTATTATCTAGGACATGACAATAGATGGCAATGTTGTTGCCAGAAGACTGGGTATGGAAGACAGCAGGTAAGCAGTGGTTTCTAAAGAGGTTTCTTTGACTACTTGACTACTGTTACTTATATTTGTTCATTGAGTCAATCAATCCATTTCTTCCCGAGTAGAAAAAAATAAAGCTAAAAGAATGGGCTGGTAAAATGGTCCTGCAAGCCTGGCACCCATGTTCAATTCCCAGAACCCACATAAACTACCAACTCCACAAAAATCAGCTTCTGATCTCCACATATGTAATCTGAACACAGACAATTTTTTAAAAAGCAAGTTAAAATATAAGATCTGTTTGAAACTGACCAGCTCTCTAACCCAATCTTTGTGTCTATTATTTCTCTTATATTTTTGGTTGTGAGCCTAGGCTTTAACGGCTGAGCCATCTCTCCGGCCCTATTATTTCTATCTCAACATAATTTAGAAGAGCAAATTATATCCAGAATATATCCAGAACCTTCAAAATTCAGTAATTAAAAGCAACCTAATTTAAAAACAGGCAAGGATTTCAACAGCCTTGGCTACAAAGAAGACAGGATGACATCTCACAAATACATAGGTATTTAGCATTATTTACCACAAAAGAAATACAAATCGAAACTATAATCACAGCAGGCAAGCTGGCCAGGGGGAGGGAGCTGTCATGAAAACCTAACTACCTGAGATGAACCCCAGAAGCCATGGTGGAAGAAGTAGGAACACCTGTACCCAGACATAACAACATTTAAATCATTTATAAATTTTCAACTTCTTAGCCGGGTGGTGGTGGCACACGCCTTTAATCCCAGCACTTGGGAGCAGGCGATCTCTGTGAGTTTGAGACCAGCCTGGTCTACAAGAGCTAGTTCCAGGGCAGCCTCCAAAGCCACAGGGAAACCCTGTCTCGAAAAACTAAAAAAAAAAAAAAATCAACTTCTTAAAGTTCCTAAATTCCTTTAGTTGCTAGTGTAGCTCTTCTGAAAAGCCCATCAGTCCATCAAAATAGCTAAATGCTGACTTAACGGGAGGGGGGGGTGTAAAGGGGGAAGGGAGGAGAGGGGGAAAGAGAGTTAGAGAGGAAGGGAGGGGGGGAGAGAGGGAGAGAGAGAGGAAAGGAGAGAGTCCCTAAATATATAAACCCACAGGAAAAACCTAAACAGAAGATTAAATCCTAGCAACAACCCAGATGCCCACTAACTGATGAGTCAATGAATAAAAAGACTATGCGCATCCAGTACTGACAAAAAGAAATGATACATGCTAACAACACCTACAACCTTGAAAACATGCTAAGGGGGAAAAAGACCAAAAAACCCAAAAGACAAAAAAAACCTATAATCATATGATTCCATTCCACTTATACAAAATATCCAAAATTGGACAAAATTTGAATTAGTAATTAGACTCTCAGTTTCTTAGGGCTAACCGGGAGAGGAGACATAAAAGGAGGATAGGGACTGACTGCTATTGAGTATGGAGTGTCTTAGAGGGGGAGAAAAAAGCTCTATAATTAGATTGCAGTGCTGTTTGCACCTGTGAGTACACTAAAACACACTGGATTTTACATTTAAATGGATGAAGTATATGATATGTGAATTGTATTCCAGCTTAGGGGTAAAAGTTCAGCAACCACACACATTTTTATTCTGTCAAGTTCTGCTCTCCCCTATATAGTACCTGCCACAAGATCCAAAGCTAGAACTAAAGAAAGTAAAGCAATGACTCCTCCTAACAATCACTTTCAAATTGATAACCCCTTTATCCATTCAACAGTGTGCTCTGAGGTCTCCACTCTTTCCAAACCATACTCTATTCACTAAACAATGATACACATACAGTCCAATACAAAAACTCATACAAGTAGGAGGTGAGAATTGGGTGTATATGATCAATGTATACATGTATGAAATTGTCAAAGAATAAATTAAAACAATTTTTAAGGTTCATATATCTAAAATAAAAAAAAAGAAGCCACTACTACTTCCTATGGATCAACTATATAGTACATATCCCTCTCCTGAAACAAGACAAGTCCAAGAAGAGACAAACAAGATGATTTGGGGGAGGGATCAACCATTAGCTTCAGCTTTTTAAAACTAAGAGCACAAAGTTTAAGACTGGCCTCTTTTCTTCCCTCTCCTTCAAACCAGCGTCTTAGAGCAGATAGTAAACACAAGGGAGATGACTTCTTGGCCAAACCCAACAGAGTTGTTATAATGTCTTCCAAACCCCAAACCTTACTTCCAGATCACAGGCTCCCCTCTTCAAACCAAATCATAACCAAGCAAAGAGCAGAGGATTCTATTTTTAGGTCTGTCGTTAACTCACTGATAATCCTGAAGCTCCAGTCTTTCTCCTCTGCTCAATAACTTAACCACAACATCCAGACCCTAAAATCAAATCATGTGATCCAACTTAAAAAAGACCTTTTCTTTCTCTAATTTATATATTTATTTTCATGGAAAAGTATGACAAAAGTATATTAAACTAAATCATGTTATTTGTTCTAATCACCTTCATTGACATACATGAAATATTCAAAATCTAAAAAACTATCAACTCCCAATATACTAAGCCCTCCCATTTTATTTACTTTTAAAAGTATTCATTAAACAAAGGTAGAATTAGCTTTCAGAGAGCTGAAGGGTTCCAAGCTTTAAATCTGAGCTCAGCTATATTTAGAAAACGAACATGCCATTTCTCTGGATCCTGTATCTTCATCTGGAGCACTGGATTCATGTGCTTTGCCTAGTGTAATTCAAAGAGTCTATCATATCCTTGAAAAGTAAAATGAACCTATCAGAACTTTCTGAAAATGTCAAGAGGAATAAATGTTGTAATATATATATACTCTAAAGATAGGGAGCTATGATCTCTAATACCAGAATTAATAAAAATAAAAATTACCTCCCTGCTATCTATAATTGGTCCAAAAACCACTGCTGACTTTTTTTTTATTTTAGTTTTTTGAAACAGGGTGCTGCTCTGGAATTTGCTCTGCAGACTAGGCTGGCTTTGAACTAACAGATTGCCTGCCTCTGACTCCCTAGTGCTGGAATTAAAGGTGTGCCCCCCCACTGACCAGCGATCATTTCTAGGGATAGAAATTCTAA